ACTTTGACTATATATATATATATATATATATTAATATTTATGGTATATACTTAGTGTTATTAGAAAGATTTTTGAATCTAGTTTTTTAATAAACTTATTTTGAAGATACAAATGTTGCACACATTTTTTACAAATCGAGTTAAATTTGCGGCACACATTATTTAGGGACGGAGGGAGTATCTCTCTCGTTGACTGACCAATCCAACACAAATGCCTCATATGCCTTGACAAAGAGAGGTTCTTCTGACCTTTTCCCATATTAGCTGTACTAGTAATATATGCATAATATAAACACATATATTATCTTTCTAATGTAGAGATATGCATGCAGTTATTGGGTTCAATCCTTACCCTTTACTTTACTAGTAACTTTCACGTTGGACCCTTTTATTGGGAGCACTTCCATAAAATTTATACCCCTGATGCAACATATATTCATATTTTGCATTTCAATTACATGTATGCTGCTTGATTATTTAATAACATTTTTTTTGCTATACCAGATATAATTGGGTTGGACATTTGTACATATTGGCATACAAAATATTCTCTCTATTCCAAAATATAAAGACTTTTATGAGTTTTAAAATTTTGTCCCCAAAATATAACTTGCAAGAACCCAACACCACAACTTAATTAGGTCATGTTTGGATACCCTGCGATTATAATAATCAGATTATATAATCAAATTTTGATCCAAACCAGATTGATTATATGATGAATTATTATAATTAGAACTCTTGATTATCATAATCCCATAATCTAGTTGTCCAAAATAGATTATATGATGGATTATGGGTGCTAAAAGTCCAACTAGTCCCTTAACCGATTATCCAACTTGCTAAACTATAAAGGATAAGATAGGAATTTCTTGCTTTAACCAACCATATGAAAGGTCCTAATATGGCTAGAGGGGGGTGAATAGCCTATTTAAAAAATCTACAAGATCACTAGAGCAATTTGATTAGTATGACAAATAGCGAAATGCAAACTTGCTCTACCTCTACAAGGGTTGCAAGCCACCTATCCAACAATTCTAGTTATTATAATCACTAGGCACACAAATGGCTAAGTCACTACTCACTAAGAGCTCTCACACTTGCTACACTAAAGAGCTCCACTAGATGATCTTAAGCTACAAAGTAAGCTCTCAATTCTAGCTACACTAAAGAGCTTGCTACAACTAGTTTGCAAAAATGTAAATGAGTAAGTAGGGTGATTATACCGTCGTGTAGCGGAGTGAACCAATCACAAGATGAGTATCAATTCAATCACCGGGAGATTACCAAAGGGCAAGAGACAACCAATTTTTCTCCCGAGGTTCATGTGCTTGCTGGCACGCTAGTCCCCGTTGTGTCAACCAACACTTGGTGGTTCAGCGGTTAAGAGGTGTTGCACGAACCTCGTCCACACAATTGGACACCGCAAGAACCTACCCACAAGTGAGGTAACTCAATGACACGAGCAATCCACTAGAGTTACCTTTCGGCTATCTGCCGGGGAAGGTACAAGACTTCTCACAACCATCGGAGCCGACCACGAACAATCACCAACACGTGCTAAAGCTCCTCCGCTGCTCCAAGCCGTCTAGGTGGCGGCAACCACCAAGAGTAACAAGAACTCCGTAGCCACAACGATCTCCAAGTGCCACTAGATGCAACCACTCAAGCAAATGCACTAGTAATCACTCCTAATCTCACTATGATGATAAATCAATGATGGAGATGAGTGGGAGGTGTTTGCTTAGGCTCACAAGGATGTCAAGTATGTCAAAGTGCCAAGAGGAGGAGCCCAAGGCCGACCATGGTCTATTTAAAGACCCCCAAATGCAATAGAGCCGTTAGGCACAAGAGGGGGCTCCCTGCGCAACGACCGAACTCGCTGGTCGGGATGACCGGACGCGTCAGGTGCATTGTTGCAATAGCCTGCAATGCTAGTTGCAGTAGCGTCCGATCAAATTTCCAGTAGCGTCCAGTCATTGTTGCAGTAGTGTCCGGTCGTAGACTTATTTGAATTCGACCGTTGGCGCCCAACGGTCCTCTCATTGCAGTAGCATCCGGTCATTGTTGCAGTAGCATCCGGTCATTGTTGTATCAGCGTCCGGTGCGTCCAGAGAGATTCTAGAGATGTATTTTGGCGACCGGACACGTCCGGTCACTACTGACCAGACTCACCCAGCGTCAGGTCATCCAACCGCGTGTGTTGCCTGTCTGTGAACAGTTGCACAGGCACCTCCGGTCACATGTTACACTAGCGTCTGGTCAATGTTTCAATAGCATCGGACGCATGTTGCACTTGCGTCCGATCCAAGTTGCAGCGTCCGGTTACGCCTGAAATCCTCCTTTTCAACTCAAACTTCACCACCCTTGCTTCCATGTGCTAATCACCAAGTGTATCACCAATGTGCATGTGTGTTAGCATTTTCACAAAGCATTTTCAAGGGTTAATTGTTAGCACGCTAGGTCCCTAATGCATATGCAAGAATCATGTCACCTAGTTGCACTCGATAACCGCTTAGCCAAAGATTTTCTCTCTTTATAGTACGGCTATCGATCATAAATACACTCACACCTTCTATGGTGTCTTGAGTGCCAAAACAAAAACATATTTGATACCTCTGCCTTGATCATCTTGGTTTTGTTTTTCTCTTTCTTATGTTTCAAGTTGAGCTTGATCATCTTCAACACATGTCCATCTCCATCCCCATGGACTTCGTCACCATGCTCCATCAATTGGTATGTACCAACCTTGCTCACATGACACTCATGACAAAGGTTAGTACTTAGGTTTCATCAATTACCCAAACCAAACTAGGGCTTTCACCATAATCCAAAGATCCTAACACTCTGATTATTATAATCTATAGCCCTAATTATAATAATACTATACATAATCTAGATTATACAGTAATAATCTAGCTCTGATCCAAACAGTCTCTTAATAGGGCAAATCAAAACTGATGCGGCCAGGTGAGGCCATGTTTGAGACAACAATAATTAGCTAAAATAGTCTAATTGTGATCCAAATAGAAGAGATTACAGGGTAGATTATTATAATCTAGGAAACAAATAATAATCAATGTAACCTAGTTGAGATCTACCAATCATAGATTATGATGCTAAAAAACAACTCCCCCCACCCTTGTCCTCTTCACCTCATATACAAGGGCACTATTGGTCATTTGTGCTCCAACCAACAATAATCTGCGCACACTATATAATCCAGGGATCCAAACAATTTACATTATTATAATCCATAGTCTAGATTATTAGAGAAGCTCCAGCAGTGTTGAAAAGCTCATAGAATATTTTATTTAATAAAAAAGAGAGAATGATAAGCTAGCTATTCAAGAGCTAGGCTCATATACTTTTTTATGATTCATGTGGCTATGTTTATATATTTTTCTATACTAACTTATTATGTTGCTCTTTTTTCCTTTTTTAAGTTAATATAAGTAGCAAGTTTGACTATGGTCATGTTCGTTTCTCTTATAATCTGTCTTTTTCAGCTTATTTTTTTTTTCAGCCGAAACAGTATTTTTCTCTTACAACAAATTAGCCGGAATAGTGTTTGGCTTATTTTTTTTCCAGCGAAGCGAACGGGGCCTATATTGCTAAGAATGCCCTTATAATCTTATTCATAGTCTGGACTATAATCTAGTTGGGATCTAAACAGGGATGAGTCATGAACTAGCCTGGGCACCCATATCATTCCTAAGAGTAACTCCAACAGCTCAGTTATTCTTATTTTGGAGGGTATTTTAGAATTTGTATAGCAAAAAGTAGGCTCCAATAGATATGCTATCTGGCCTTATAAAATAGGAAGCTGGCTATCTCTTAATTTTAGGTGGCCATATAAAGCCAACCACGGGCACTAGCTATCTGGAGATGACAAATATATAGCAAGACTGTTGTAGACCTCTTCTTTTTTGAGTTTTCTATTTTACAAAAGGCAACGTATCAGGTGCAAACCAATCAACCTGTGCAAACTTGAAAACTATCAATCATGACCACTAGATGCTGATCCAATGGATGGGGTGAGAGGTGGGATTTTTTGTGCTTAAGCCCCCCACCCGCCGACCTTTTTTTTTTGCGCTTAAGCTCCCTCACCCCATCTATTGGATCAGCATCTAGTGGTCTTGATTGGTAGTTTTTAAGTTTGCACAGGTTGATTGGTTTGCACCTGATATGTTGCCTTTACAAAATGGCTAAACTATAGAAATTGGCTACGAATTTTAGCCAAGTTGTTGGAGTTGCTGACTTTTCTTTTGTTGATTAAATTTCATATGTCCGTATGTTTTGGTAGGAGTAATAGATAAATATTCCTGAGATAAAAATAAACTTCATGAAAAGTACTACCATGCTTTCAGGATTTTTTCTCTCTAAACAATAACTTTTGGTGTAAGAGGTACTGCTTTTGAAATTCCTTGACCTTTTTACACACTTAATTAAAGAATGGAATTTCTGCAAGTGGCACAAAATTGCCTTGATGAAGCATACGTATTTTTTTATTACAAGCCCATCCAAAGGGGACAGAGTTTATATGATATTATATTTCTGCCCGTGATTTTCTGATAATAATAAGAAATGTTCTACTCCGTTTGCTGCAAAAGTGTACGGTGTTCGATAGCGAACAATCTCGAGATCTATTGTCCGAGCCTTTTAGAGGTGCTCAAAGTGATAGTATTTGTGCGCGGCATTTGAGTGTATGTGCATGTATATAGTTATACGAAGGTCTACGTCTATGCTGTGTGATTCAAGAAAAAATTACCTACCATGTCCATGGCAATTGCAAACATTTAGGCAATTATATGTAATTGGCACATAAATACTGTAATACTGTATCAAGCTTGCAGAATCAACCACACAAAATCAAGTTGCTACAATACAGAGTATACAACGACACTGCCCGGTCTTCAGTTCATATATAGCTAGTTCATGTTCATGGATGTCTTAATTATATGCAGCGGCTGTCACTCTGCGCTTCTTCTTCTTCTTCTTCTACCAGGTGGATATCTTCATGCCGAGATCTTTCTGGGCGAAGGCGACGAGGTTCTCGATCTCGGAGTCGTCCAGGAAGCCGCTGTTGTTCTTGTCGGCCTGGCGAAGGGCGCGGCCGCTCTTCCAGGTGGTGAACCAGCCGCCGCGGCGGCGGAGCGCCTCCCGGAGCTCGTTCCGGCTGATCCGCCCGTCGCCGTCGGTGTCGAACTGCTTGAGCCACTCCTTGAACTCCTCCAGCGTCATGTCCTCGCGGGTGGAGGCGACGCCCCGGATCGCCATGGCTGGCACTGGCAGCTGCCCCTCGCGCTCTGCAGCCTGAAGAGTGAAGGCTGATCTATCGACGCCTCCTTTTATAGTGGTGATGGATTTATTCGCTGCTATCTGCAGCAGCCAGCATGGTGGTTGCTATTCTACTGCCACGGTCCACGGCCCACCGGCTGTCAAGTTCTTGGTGGAGAGGAGAGCATGCAGGCGGCTATGCTTTACTACTAGTCTGCAGCATCGGATCCCTTGCGTGCAGGCACGTGTGCCTCACACACATTATTTGATTCTCTCTCTTTTTACTGATAAGCTGAGTGAGAAAGGGCATCGCTTTTCCTCTCGTCTGATGTGGAGGCCTGCACTGCACTTATTCGCTTCGATCGATTCAACCCCCAAGCTTGGAGTAGTAACCTGCACTCTGCACGCGAGATCCGGTTCAGTGTTATGATCCAAACTCCAAACAGGCTGCAGGCTGCCCTGTTGATCGATCTTGGGTTGGAGTACTGGTACTGCAACCAGATGCAGCGTGAGAACACTTCATATTCGGCTGCACATGCAACCTCTGCTAAAGAGTGCTGCCTCCATGAATACTGTAATCTTCTTTCTTCCGGTCCTACTACTACTACACACACATGAATCTCCTAGCCAGTCTAGCTAGGTTCATCGTCCTGGTGGTGCCCATTTTTGTTCTGTTTGCAATAGCTTCTGTGGGTCCTTTTGAAGAATATATATTGGCAGAAAGTTCCCTATCCTATGCATAAAAAAAATCCAATTATTCTTGTTTGGCCTCGCAAGGTTCTTTTCTGCGCATCCCGGTCATGATCAATGATTTTTTTTTTCAACGAATGGATGGGTGTTCCCTGCGTGGGTCCTTGTAAAGAAACAAGACGGAGAATAGGATCTTGGAAAGATTGGCCCTGATCGTGGGAGAGATTACTTCAAGTGGGACGGTAGCAGATTACCTTCGATGAGCAGCACGATGGAGATCCGTTGTCTGACTAGGCAGAAAAGGGAGTTGCTATATTTTTTTTGTGACAACAATCTTAAAGTACAAGACAATTCACAATTTTTATAGTCAAACAATGATAAAATTACAAGTTGTCTGAATAACAAAAAAATCAGACACCTAAAATATAAAAGAAGAAAGAAGTGGGCAGAAAAATATAGCAAAAGTAGGGTAGGAGAATTCTAGCACAGTGGCAGGTGTATCAACATTCAGAAAGGTATGTAACTATCTCACTCCAAAGAGTTCAGGTTTCAGGAGAAACATTACAGAATAGCGCTACATCTACACTGGACTGCAAGACATGAACAATTTCTTCATGGGGACCTACTAATAAGTTACCAAAAAATCATATAAACGTATTCCAATGTGCCCTAGTGTGTTTTTATACCGACAAATTAAATTACACTTTCAACAGATGGCAAGCTTTAAAACAAACAAAAAAACTCTTTCCAAAGAAGACCAGGCAAAAAATCAGCTTATTACACCAATGTACAGCAATGTGAATGACAAAGTCCCAGGTGTCTAGGATCTCGTTTATCTCACGTCTGTGCCCGGGTCTTCCTGGATAGAACCGAGCCCATCAGAGGGAACAGAGATTTCTTCCTCTGCAACTTTTGGTTTGGAACAAGGCCCTCGTAGCTACTTCCCGACATCTGTACCTTGGATTCCTGCTCCTTGTGGTATGGATCCTTCTGTTCAACAAATACTCTAGATGGACCATTCAAAGGATTCACCGCGCGTTTCGTGGATTCATGAGCTCTGCGGCGCTGCTCATGGTCAGCTCTCCATTTCCTCAGTTCCTGCTCCGCACCAAGTTTACCTTCGTTCGCCCTCCCGGCTCTCTCCAATGCAATTTCAAGTGCTTCCTTCTTCTCATCCATTTCCTCGGATGTTTCCTTTAGTCTCTCCAGGCTCCTTGCTTCTGATTCCTTTGCCGACACTACCTGTGCCAATGCTTCTGCTACCTTCTCACTCGCCTGTTCTTCGGCTTCATGTGCTCTCTTGCTGAGTTCATAGTACTCGCTTAGAGGAAGCACCACTCGTCTCGGAGAATCTGTAGTGTCTCTTGCCTCTTTGCTTTCTTGCAAAGCTTGAACCGCCTCGCGTGCTAGCCTCTCTGATGCTACGGATGCTTCTGCTTCTTTCACAACAGCAGATAACCTGGTTTCTGCTGCAGTTGCAGCTGCCTTGGTTTGCTCGAATTCCTCCTTGGCCTTCCTCAGCTCCTCATGAGCTAAGTGAGTTGCTACCCTTGCGTCCTCAGCCTCCTGAGTCGCTTGCTGTAAAACCATGGGAAGCTCCACCACCTTTTCTTCGGCCTCTGCTTCCTTGGACCTGACAGATTCCATCTCTTGTTTCGTTCGATTGAGCTCAGCTTCTAGTGAAGAAACAGCAACGGATGCCATAGCCTCCCCCTGTTGCAACGCAACAAGTGAAGCTTTCTCATTGTCCAGTTCTGATCTGAGTGTCGTGGCAGCAAATCTTAGCACGTTGGCCTCAGCCTTTGCCTTCTCAATGTCCGCTTTGACCTCCTGAAGTTCTTTCTGTTTCGATGCTAGAGCTTCCTTAACTGAGTTGCTAATGTGTTCAGAATCTTCAGACTCATGCTCCTTGGAAACTCCTTCAGCTTCTTCAGTCAGTTTCTTCACCATGTAGACAGACAGCTCCGATTTGAGGCTAAGCAACTTGCGCAAATTTGCATCAATATTCAGCTGCATATCATTATTGAACTTAAGGTTACTGTCTAGTTGTTCCAGATCCTCTTGTGCCTGATGCAACTCTTTCTCCCAGGCAATGCAATCCTGCTCTTTCGCCAATGCTGCACAGATCCTGCATTCCTCTGCTTCATGATGTGCAGCATGGGCCAACTCAAGAGACCTTTTAGACGCAATAAATTCTAATGTCAGTTCCTCCACTCTCTTCTCAATCTCCTTCCCTGCAGATATGACCTCTTCCGCTCTTTTGATTGCCGTCTCTCTTTCATCTATCAGGGCAGCATACTGTTCATGTACTGACGTCAACTCCTCTTTTACTGACTTAAGTTCAGCAACAGCCTTTTTGTGCCTTTCTTTGGCGACTTCCATTTGTGTCCTGGCTATCGCACTAGCTTCATCAGCTATTCCGTGCTCAATCTCTTGTGCCCTGAGTTGTGCAAGCTCAGAGTCCTGCTTTGCCTGAGCTTCTTCAACCTGTACTTTCTCCAGGTGATGCTTCAGCTCCTCAATAAGCCTCTTGGTGTGCTCTAGCTCATCCACAACTTGAGATTTAGCCATCTCAGCAGCTTCTAGTTCCTCCTTGCAAAGTGGAATTTCTGTTCGAATCTTTTCTAGTTCAGGTTGTATGAGCTTGCGTCTCTGCATGCATGAAAGAAAATCCTTTTTAAGTGATCAGAGTATGGTAAAAAAATTGACTATGTAAAAGACAATTTCAGTTCCATAACTAAAGCTCTGTGATCTATATGTGGTGTTAATTTATCAAGAACTACCTCGATCATCTGAGCTTTGTGAGCTTTCCAATCAACAATTCCTCCAAACTTGGTGACAGCTTCTCTAACAGACTCAAAGGGTGCAGCAGTGTCAATAAGGCCTCTGTATGGACTTTCAGGTGTTGTTTCTGAATCTTGTTTCATTTTCAGCTTTGTGTGCGTATCAGTCTGATGGTGTGTTTCATCTTCTTTAGGTTTCATTTCATCCCTTAGCATAGTTCCGGCACCATTTGAAACATTTACAGGCACGCCGTTCACTTCACTTGCGTCTACTGAAGAAGGATAATCTGCCTTATCATTTGTTGAGCTTATGTATGCCTCAGTTGGTCCTGAATTAGACGGTATTTCAGGATCTGTATTGGAAGGCGCATTTGATTTCGCAATGTCTTCTGTTAGATCAGGAAGCCTCGTTTCTAGGACCTGTAAAGACGAATCCAAACTATCAGCACAAACTATATGCAGAGTAGAGTTTTCAGTTTCTGCTTGTGCTGACTTCACCTCATGTCCGCTTGGCCCCTCATGATCACTATGTCCAGGAACTTCCTTGGCTGCAGGAGGAGTTGGTAAATCCGCTGAAGAGTCTTTTGAGTTACTCTCTTCAGTGCCATACGTCGATTCCATTCCTTAGCCTTTTCCAGGCCGCAATTGGTTTGCTCCTAAACATTATTTTGCAAACAAAATGAAAATCAGGTAAATAAAACATGATAGTAGCACATATCCAAGTACTGAAAGGTTGCCGAATGTACAGTCTTACACGTCATGGTCTTATCATGACTTCATGAGAAGTAGCATTTTCATTACAGACTTTTGAGTGGATTAAAATTAAATATTCACGAAACTGTTAGTGTTTGCCAGATTTTTATTTCAGAGTCAGATCTATCAACGTCATCAGTGGTGTGCATAAACAACACAAGTATGCTAAATAAGACACTCGTCACAACTGGATATGCAGTGCCACGTCATCCTGTAAAGGAGAACTCTATTGAATCCACTCTTGCATGCAGTTATGATTGCCGCACCTGACATTGAATCAACTTTGCGTCTGCAATTATTCAGCTACTACTATTGCAGTGAACATTTATCTTTGCATTACCTAATTCATCTTTCCTAACAAACAAAAGCACATATCCAGACAAAACCTAACCATTTTCCTAACACCTAACAAGCTAAAAGTGGAACGAAAATGCAGTACCGGGCCAGGGTGACCCATCAACACCATTATTCTTACTTGCCAGCAATAATGTTTGAAGTCTCCAAATAGTTCAAACTATGTTAAACTATATCTCAATTGAATATTTGTCATCCATTGGAATATGTCATCCGTAGAAGTCCGGAGCTAAATTGTAAGTTTGTGGCCTGTAAGTTTCTGGATAAAGATTATACACGTGTATCCAAGAAAAAAATACAAAATTACCGAGGGACCACCATGTCTCTACCAAACAAGCTGAAACATTAAACATGTGTTACTGAATTGGTTAATCAAAAGATTTAACGGTGAGAAGGGCGGAGAGCTTCTCATCATCTTCTTCCACGAAAACATCATGAAAGCGAAAACTTTTGTCCTGACCATAAACAAATTCATAGCACCTATGACTTTGAACAATCGAACCAAGTACTCCCCATACATGAAGACGAACTGAACTACAACTCCATAAGGAAAATGAAAAACCATATCTTCCTTAGTTGCTACCGTTGGTCCCTATGAACAATCGGACCAAGTGTAGTCTCTGTTCAGAGCTAGAAGCGAGGAACCTCCCTGCAATTCTCGATCCCTAAGAGAAGAGCGCAGACAACCTGAACCAAAACCAAACGCAAACGGGAACGGAAACTGAAACAGAGAGCGATTCCTACCAGTTTCCATCCAATCGAAACAAGAGGAAGAAAACACCCGCGTACGGTAGACAGAGAAAGCGGAGCTAAAGACACTCGCGGATTGCAGCGGGACGGACGAGGCGAAGCTCACCTCGATGGCGCGGAGGAACTTCCGTACGGGCGAAGCGAACGAGTGCCTCCTCGTGCTCCGATTTGGATCTCCGCTCTTCGTGCTCGCGATTGATCTCCGCTCTTTGCTGTTTATTCTGAGGGGAGGCTGGGGGCGAGCGTACGTGCGTATGCTGCTCGGTTTGTCTGGCTCACGACTCCGCTGGTCGGCTGGACACATGTGATTAGTGAGAGAAGTGGATTGGACTGCTTTTGCAGAATCCGCCTCCATCTCTACAGAAATTACACGGCAGGTCTTTATGTAAAAGTACTCTGTGTATTTTTTGTATTTTTCATGGATACACGTGTATCTACAGAAATATTTTCTCAAAGACAAGAGGCAAATTTGTTGCTGTTCCAAATGCAACGATATTTTAGTACCGTGGTGTTTGGATATATTAAAAACTATATAAGAATCCATATAATGCAGGCAGGGACGGGCCTATCTAAATTCAAGGGTATATAGACTGTATATATGTATTCGCATTGGAAAAAGAAGAAAATAAGCCAAACGAATATTGTATTAAGAATTCAACCTAAAACATGTATTCTTCTGCTGCTTTTTCACCCCTACTTTGATGTCCGAACAACTTCTATCCCGCTAGGCAGCAGACAAACGCACCACAACTCCGCAAGTTAGAGACAACATCGGCACATCACTCGCTCGCCATCGCTCAAGCTCTCCTTTTCTCTCCTGTTTTCTTTCCCAGCCCCAAACCCTTCCACCTACCGGTGGCGGCGGCGGAGCAGCGGACTACAGGAGTAGCAGTGCACGTCAGCACAAGGCAGCGACAAGAAAATTCAAGCTAAATGCTTGTGGTTCATATAGAGCACAAACTTGGGTTAGTTTGTACTTGTTTTAAAATATCAAGTTGCATACCAAATTTTACTATTGCTTAGTGAATTGCTAAATTGATCGTATTGATTTGCGTATGAAAATTTTAGTGTTGAATATCAACAAAACTCTAGGTCCTCCATTGTGAATACCCAAGTTCAAAATCTTGGGCAGTTGGGCCCACCACTGGTTTACAGGAGTGGATTGATGAAATCTAAGTGGCTGAATCGTTTTTATCCACGCAAGAATGATGGATGTCCACTGTAAAGACGCTATAGACTGTCTTTTCGTAGGGTGTACTTTGGTCATTTGCCAATAGTAGTGGTATCTCTCTCAACTTCAATGATAAATCTCTTTGTGAAACCTGAGGAGAAAATTGTCTATTTGCTAGCCAAAACAACGGGCTTCACAAATTTGTTGCCATGCTAATCGTGGGCTTCACAAAAATATTAGCTGAAACATTTTCTCCTTATTTTCTATGTCATTTTGCCTCTTTTTTCCCTTTTACAATTTTCCTGCTAAGCTTTGACATTTGAAAGGACAATACTACCCCTGTGACAAAATGGTTGGATGGTTGTTGTCATTGTACATTGCCTCTTTGTTTTAGAAGTTTGTTTTAGTCTCTCGTCCTACTTTTCAAACCAACATTCAAACTGAACAATACTACCCTCATTCTTAATAGATATGGAGTACTTGCCAGTTTGTCCTCAGTTAATAAAATTGTCTGACAAAATCAACATCTTGACACCCATTTTTCTCTTATCATAACAGCATAGACGAATTCCTGGGAAACACAAAGGAGGAAACTAAATTTATATACAACTATTGACAGGTAAAATGATACGACCAGAGCCCCGCCCCGTACTCAACTCCTCCGCTCGTTAACCGGTCGTTGCTCTTGACAAATTTCTCCACGATGAAATTGCTGGCCTCTGACGCGTCACGTATGGCGTGGAAGTCGACTCCACTGCTCGTTAGCAGTTGTTTCCCTTGATGGCGTGGAAGTCGCCAGTGATAGAGATAGGGGAGGGGGGCAAAAGCCCCCCTAAGCCTCTACATTTTCTATTAGAAAAAATAATAATTTGAATAAATTGTAAAAACATATACTGCCCTCTCTTAAAAAAAAAAGGGAGCCATGTACGTACGAGGCTGAGAGATATATAATTTTTTTGAAACAAAGTGAGTAAAGAAATAGCGCCCACCTCGTCAAAAGTCAAAACATTCCTAACTGTAACAATAAACCGTCACCGCAACCAACACCAGCATTTGGTGTGCAAAAGGTTGACGTCTCAAAATCCACAAATTACGAGGCGCAAGATGGAAAGCTTCCAGTTCCAGCAGCTTAACGATCGGCTAGATTTGATTCATTCCTGTCCAGTACCTCTCACGCCAGTCCAAACCCCCTGCACTAATTAATTCCTCCCCAAAGCGGGGTTGGTCTGTGGAGTGGACGAAGGAAAGCACAGGATTCCAGCTGCGAGGACCCGCGACGGCGAGTCCGCTATAAGGCCACGAAACGGACGGCGCGCGTGGGGGCGGCTGCGACCGGGACGTTTTTGGGGGCGTGTAGCCCGGTGGACTTTCCGTGGTGACGCTTGTACGCAAGCGCGCGTTGGCGTCCACCCCTGCTATGTGCTCCGGGTACGCAGGCAAAACGTACCCATAGTGTACGTGTACTGTGTACTTGTGCTCCGTACTTCTCTGAGAATTTGATACTCTGCTGCTTTAACTACGAGAGGTGTGTTAGGTCGTGCGTGCATGATAATAAACAGATAAGTAAGCACTAGTCCTACGCCATAGGGTTTTTGTTGGTCTGGCCTGGCGGACGGGCATCCCGGGAATGAGACGTGCGTGCTAGGTGTGTGATCCATTTGAAGTCGTAGTGAATGCTTCACCTAAGCCACCGCATACGTGGGAATGTCCGGATCCAGACGTCTCGCCGGAAGATCAGGATCTCCGACGGTACACGTACAAGTACAACCATCTCCCTCGAGAATTTCACGTACTATATACTACAAAGATCCACTTTTGGTTGGAGTTGGATTGTTCCTTCCTGTATGTTTACAGGCAGAAGGGCAGAGGCAGATCATCAGACAGCAGCGGCGCGCAGCACATGCTTTGCGCCAGCGTGAGTGGCTGCAGACAGCGTCATTAGCCGCCAGTAAAAACATGTTCCCGTCCCCAGCCAAAAAGACTTGCAGCAGAGCAGAGGACGAGACAAATAATTGCGTGGCAACAGCGACGCGGCACGGGAGCGGGGACGTGGACGAAGACGGAACTGGCGCGGCGCGCGCGCGGGCCTCGACGACACGGACGCGAACCGACGGGTGGCCACCGCGGTGTCCGCGTGCTCCTGCCGCCGGGCCACCAGCGCACCGGGTCCGGGGCCCAGGTCGGGGTCCCGGCCTCCCCTGTGCCGTGCGTGCGCAGAAGCGACAGCGCCTTTTCAGAGTCTGGAAGCGGAGGGCTCGGCTTTCCACTCCGACACCGCGGCAGGAAAAGAAGCGGAATGGAGTCTGTAGCCTTGGCCGTTGGTGTTTGGCGTGCCTGCCTTCTCTCGCCCGCCGGGCCTTGTTCTGTTCTTGTTTCTCCGGGTCCTGGCAGTCGGCAGATCTGGTGGCCCGCCCGGCCACGCCGCGAAAGCGGGCAAGCGGCCCAACGGATTCATTCGCGGGGGCAGGCCAGTAGGCGCCGCGCCGTTGTTGTGTTGACTGTTTAGCCGCGCGCAGCTCTCGCCTTCCGATTCATAGCTCATTGGCAGTGACCAGTGAGCCCAGTGACCGTTGCGAGTTTAAACGTTTAATAAACACTCGATCAATGCTGTGCTTCTGAAAGAATTAATCTGTGAGACTGTGACGCAGCCTGTCCTCTTCTTACGGTTGACTCGAAATCCAAACAAGCAAGCCGTGGCCCAAATCCATACGGATGATCCTCAACCGACATTCCGACAACAGCCATACCTCAGGTTAGTTGGGGGTCGATCGCCAGACCGTAGCTACCACTATCATACCAGCTAACTGAACACCAGGCAACCAGCACCGTACCAGACACCGCGCAAACTGATGGCATTTTTAGCGCTCTACAAAACGGGTCCAGCATCTCACACCATTATCATTTTTTTATTCGACAAGCATAGTTTCAGCCTTCACGGCTACACCCACAGAGCAGAGCTGCTGCTACAATTTATTTTATTGGTAATGGTCGGCAGGACCCCTGGCGAATTTGTATTGATAGAGCAGGAATGCTACCACAAAATGAACCATTTCCATCTCTTGTTTCATTGCTCGTATTTCCAACCACACGATAGATGGCAGAACCGAATATCCGGTGTATTTTTTTTTCTCCCCCACGTTAAAACCAAACTTCATTACCAGACAGTAGCGGATCTAGTAAGAAAGTTTAGAGGGCTGAAGTTACGAATTTATTACCATCTTCAATCTCCGACTCCTTCTCGTCAGAGTAGTCATGGCAAAAAAAAAATATTGGAGAGACACTATGGGTGTTCTAGGGTAGTCATGGCAAAAAAAATATTGGAGAGACACTATGGGTGTTCTAGGGGCTCCATGGAATTTGCGGAGGTAGGGAGGCTTGAGCCCCCCGCTCCACCGCTGGATCACCCCTGTTACTAGGTAGCAATAAAATTATAGAGTTTTATATGTTTATGACACATCCATTGCATGCATATGCCACTGAACTTTCACGTTTATGAACAAAGAGTTTAGGAAGCTGGGCATACTTTAAACTACCTGATGGCTCCTACCAGCAGAAACATTTTCCGAACATAGAGTTTAGGAACCTGGGCAAACTTCAACCTACCTCCCGGCTCCCACTAACAAAACACCTAGCAACTTTAACAGTAATTTGGTGCATATATAGAAGTTACTATAGTTTTTTTCGAGACCTAGTTATAGACATAAACGCTTATAAACACGAGCGCACTCACCCCTATGAAAACGCACGCACACACTCTACTCCTATGAGCACTCGCACGCTCACCCCTATGAACGCACGCATGTGCACCCTACCCCTATGAGCACATCCGAAGAACTAAGTTGGACCGACAAATCGCACGCACGCCCTATCCCTATGAGCATATCTGAAGAACTAAGTTGGACCGGCAAATCTCGAGATTGACGAAATCACCAAAGACGTCTCGCTGTCGACGGGCACGTCGCCTACCCCTGAAAGAATAGCGCCTTTAAATCATAGAATAAATTTAGGAAAATACGAGCATCCGTATCAAAATCGAAACTTGAACTCAGATGGACAAGTTCCACCACAGAAAAACCAACCATGCTCAGTTCGCAGAAGTTACTATACTTAATCCCTCTTTTGGCACGGCTCATCCAAAACGGCTTCACCGGTGAAGCTAAAGCTGGTGAAGCCAGAAAAACTAGCTTTTTCACGGCTTCTAATTCATTTTAACCCCGGTTTACAAAATGGCTTCACGCTACAGTGCCTCGATTTGTGTAAAATAGATGAAGCCGAAGCCGGCATAAGCCGTGTCAAAGAGGCCCTTAGGTAGGCACAACAATTTCATCTCAGACAAACGCAGCCCCTGATACTTCGTCTTAAACTTAATGGTTTTCTTTGTCAATGCTCCACTTCTAGGAATGTCTTGTACAGAAGACTTCGTACTGCGAAAGGAGAGATGCGAAGTCACAGTCACATCGCCGAATCACGAAGACAAGGACCGAAGGACGAAGACTAACGATCTCCTTTGTTGTGAAGCGAAGCCCAAAACAAGCGGAGACAGATTAACTTGCCCTCAACCTACGAAGATTCATCACCGATGATCTTTATCACCGATGATCTTTCTTCCGGAAATAGACTTAAGGGGTGTTTGGTTAGCACATGACCTCCTAAAATTTCTGTCACATCAAATATTTATACACATGTATGGAGTATTAAATATAAACTAATTACGAAACTAATTGCACAACTTGCGACTAATTTGCGAGACGAATCTTTTAATCGTAATTAGTCAATGATTTGACAACGTGATGCTACAGTAAATATGTGCTAATGATAGATTAATTAGACTTAAAAAAATTTTCTCGAAAATTAGCCTCCATCTATGTAATTGGTTTTGTAATTAATCTATATTTAATGCTCCTTATTAGTATCTAAACATTCGATGTGACATAAATTTTAAGAGCGACTAAAGAACCAAACACCCCCTTAGAAGATGCAAGAGTACTGTATCAAAGATTTAATGAGCGGTTTACCCTTAAATGTAAACGGTAATGACCTCTAAGGGTATTTTAGACATCGTAGTAGGAATAACGAAGGTTAAGACCTCTATAAATACCCCCTAACATGTAATGTACACGAATACTCTACTCTCCTATGCTTGTGTAAAATCGCTTTTTACCCAAACAAGGATAAACATAAGCAGATCATAACATTATTGCTCATAGTAATTATTACATCAGTCAATAAGCACACGCCCGGTGGTCATAAACCAACTGATGGTGTGAAGGACTCACAAAAGATACACCTAGACCTAGTAGCCATAGCTAGTCCTCCTCATCATCCTGATGAACTCGTCAAAGTCTATCTCACCGTCACCTGTGACAAACCAGAAATCAAGTTAAATTACAGGTAGTTTAACTTGAAAAATGAGGGACTTTCAAGTTTGCACAAAGAAATAAAGATGGAAGAACACAGCTAACCATTTCTATCCGCCTCTTGCACCATGTCTTGGATCTCATCGAGGGTGAGATTTACACCCAGCTCTTTGGCAATCCTCTGGATATCAATGTTAGAAATCTTTCCCTGCAGGGACAACAAAACATACTTTAAGAGCTACCATAGCATTGTCCGAGGGATTACTCATGTTTAGAATATGGTACAGTTGCAAAAGTGTTTTGTGTTCTTATCTCAATCAATTCCATTAAGCTCAAGGGAAGACATACTAACATTTTGCTCTCAGAACACTAGGAGAGAGAGGATTGAAAGTTGTGTAAGCATCCGTTCTTCATCGTCTTTTAAGTTATGAAAACCACTTGGGTGATTGTTGACTAGAGAGAAAATCTAGTTGCTTATTGTCTAATAGGAGGTCGACAATTGACATGCTTGAAAAAATAAGGCAAGCAAAATGGTAGTCCAGTACAATCATATAAGAAAGCATGTGTCGAAGAAAAGAGGGATGATGCTTTACATTTCCATCCTGGTCAATAATGCGGAATGCTTTTGAAAGCTCCTCTTTACTATCCCTCTCTCCGATTTTGGCAGTCATCATGTGCTCAAACTCCTCATAGTCGATCGCTCCACTGCCATCTTTGTCAACATCAGCAATCATTTGCCTAATTTGCTGCATTATCCAGAAGGTGAGTAGTGTTATTTCAAGGAATTTTCGACAGCACATGGGTGTGGTTCCATACTTGCATGGGCTCAAACACAGAAAAGAAATTTTCGACAGCACATGGGTGGAGTATGAAATAATAATGTGGCTCTTATTCACAAGGGGCATAGTATATCATGGACAGGACAGGAAGAACTCATTTCATCAAGCTAACTTCTAATGAAATATGACAGATAGGGACGCTAAAAGATATGCTCAGAAGGAAACAGTAACTGCAACGATATCAGCAGGAACAGAAGGAAATTCTCAGCACAACATATCAGCAAGAACTCCCTCGCTACTTAACATTGCGCTCATTCTAGGACTGCTTATGCAAGATTGAAATATCAATTCAACCAACACAAATGGAAGAGCTATAGCATTCTTTGCCGTACGATTGTCGAGGAACAAGACAACTATAATGTACTTTCTAGATAATGAAAATACGCTCTAAAACAAAGGATGGGCTAATAGGACGAATAATACCTCTTCAGTCATCTCAAATCCTAAGGCTCTGTAAACAAAATAAATAATTTCAGAGGCCTAGTTGCAGCTTGGCTGTTAAAATGAGAATGGTTACGCCAGCCTTACCTCATGGCAACATTCAGCTCTTTTGCATCAATGGTTCCTGTGAGATAAGTATGCTAGTAAGAAATCAACAGTTCCAACACCAGCAAAGCAATAGTGTCGTTGAAAAAATGGAATTAGCGATCCCCCAAAGGAAATTGTAGGTACCAGAGTTATCTGTATCAAACAGATCAAAGGCTTCCTTTATTTCCTGCCTCTTCTGCTGCGTCAGGCCATGAGGGCGAGCCCTAGGCCTCTCCCTCCTGGTCTGCCCCTTGACAGTAGACTACAAATTTCACATGTCACAAGTGAGATCAACGATCAAGTCATCAGAAGAATACTAGAATCCACAATTTGAGACAATTCATCCTACTGAACCTAATGGTTTTAGGTGGACATGTTGCAACCAGGGGGTGGATCTAGTAGTGAGCATAAGTGCACGTATGCACCGATAATTTTTTGCAAAAAAATAAAAAGAAAATCGAAGCTAGCAGCCTGTAATTGTGTCAGATCTGAATACAAACAGCTTACATTAGGTTATGGGGAGCTCGGTTTCACACAGCAGGAAGGGAATGGAAGGGGCGTGCGTACCTGGTTGAAACTCATCGCCGGCGATGGGATCCACGAAGACCTGGCGTAGGGTGGCGCCGCTCCCCCAGTCGTCGCCGGCTAGAGAGAGCGCGCGCGCGCGAGAGAGAGATGGGAGTTAGGACCGCGTGAACGGGAAAGGCGGAGGAGGGGCGGGGTGACGCGTGAAGTGGGGAACGGAGGTCGGACCGTCGGAGGGGTGACCGGGTGAACGCAAACTGGCAAGGAAATATCAAAAGGGGCTCTAGGGGGTGGGGACTTGATATGATTAATATATCTAGAAAAGATCTCGTATTATTTTTTTCATATAATTAAATGAAAAAAAATTATATGAAAAAATTATTTGATCTTAATATATCTTACAACTTTCTATTGTAATAACATAGAACTTAAGGCTTTTTCGTTTTTTCACATTCAAGCCCAAACTAAAAAAAAAAAGTTGAAGTAGTGGCGCTTGAAGACCGCTTGAATTTTTTCGTTGTGCAAAAAAAATTGAAGCCTGTTGGGCATTGTAGAGGCTTTTATTCAAGCAAGAACGTGTTTGCCTGTTTGACGATGTTTGGTTTGACGAATGGTAACGCTAACGCAAACGAAATGGAATTACAGCGTGATCGGAGCTGTAATGCGTGATTGCAGTCTTTGTTTGGTTCTATAAGGTAACGATATGCCATACCATTTTGAAAAGAAAAAGTCTACTTAACCCCCCACATTTCATACTTGGTTTACTTCACCTCCCAAACTATGAAACCGCCTATTTTACTCCTCTGAACTTTCTAAAACCGTCTATTTTACCCCCGGACGGTTTTTTACTGCGGTTTTACTACCGTAACAGCGGGTTTGCATGGTAACGCATTACCGACTGCATGCAACCAAACAAAAGTAACAGTATCACTTCCCTTCCGTGATCTGATTACGTTACAAAATGGCGAACCAAACACCTTGTAGGATCCTGTTATTAGAGTTTACGTCAACATTTAACTATTTTTTCCATCTCGCAGCTGTACTTGCTGTGGCGAAGACTACACGCTCACACTATTTGTAGAGCTGTGTGAAAAATAGGTGAAATTAGGGATCCATTCATAACATATTAACATTCTTCTCCGAAGGAAGCTCCATGCGTAGCACATTATCAGAATTCATGAACAGAATATTTGCAATTGTATATAGAGACTCCTGGTCCCTGGACCCCTCTGTTTGCAAGAAATCTGGTCCCTGGAAGTATATGGAGACTCATGGTCCCTGGAACCCCCCTCTCTGTTTGCAAGAAATCTGGTCCCTGGAACTCCTTTCTGTTTGCAAGAAATCTAGGTCCTCTAGCAGGCAGGAGTCAACCATCAAAAGTTAAGGACAGTTTGGTTCCTCTGCTCAGCCACTGGCGGAGCTAGAAATACGATTTTTTCTTTGTTATAGAGGGGCCAGCAGTCCACATATTATCAAAAGTTAAGGACAGTTTGGTTCCTCTGCTCAGCAAACTTGGAGAGCGAAACAACCAACCGCGTTCGAAATTCAGATATGATAGTAAAACCAAAATGTAGATATGATGTTAACAAAAATATGAAAGCACTCCATTTACAAGGTTACAGCACCAAACACAGAATAAAGGAAATTTTATTTTCATATCAGTGTCACTCAAAAACACAATAAAACCATCAACTGCCTCGCATCAATCTAGGCTAAATTGAACGAACTATTTTGACTTCCAAACCAGAATAAAGGGTAAGCTAGTTTATCTTACAAACTTGCACTGCTTGACTTTCTCTCTGATTCAGTTACTACCAGGTGAGTGTGTTAGTCAACTCCAGAGATCACTCTGTGGACATTGCATTATCCTTTTGGTCCATGATCCTTGCAGTTGCCGGAGGGAGACCCAGCTTCAACATCAAGTAATCCAGCATGCACTTTCGATGATGCACTGCAGTTATCACTATTTTTGTCACTCACATCAAGGCAGCCCACCTGATGGGCTTCTGCCTTCACAACCAGAACCACCTATTGACAATGTGATGTAAAGTAAGAATGTTTTCATAAAACATAGAACATCGGCAGAACACAACTAAAAGGTACACTACACTTATGGTCAATTACCTGATGATCCCTCGTACCATCAGCAGATTTCAGTCGCTTTCGGTTGCATCCTCTCCTTGATTCTCCAGTCCCTTGGGTCTCCTCATCAAAATTCTGATCCGACCCCTCTGAGTAAATGCACGAGTAGTTCTCTTGTAAAAATCTGGCCATGTCACTCAAGTAAATGAACTTAATACCTTTAAATATTTTGTATTCATAGTCTGGATATGAAGAAACACATGGCATAATTCCCAAGGTGCACTTCTACTGGTCAGATCTCAGGAAAACAAGACACTGAGCAAGATGATGCGTTTTTTTCCAACACACAAAGAATGTTAACAGCTTACACTTGAAACAAAATCAGGCAGACAGCCAGGGTAAATTTGTTTTCTTAATAAAAAGCAGATTTGGGGAAATCAATTGTTGCTTTGTTTTGCAATAATCTCATAGAAGACAATCAAAATTTGGAAATAGTTTTCTTCCTTTTTGGAGTAACTACAGATCAGTATGCAACAGCATTTGCAAAAGGACATCCAATAGATACCCCCCTACCTGCGCTTCTGGAAGGTGAATGTCTGTGTTTGCCAACATAGCACGTGGAAGCTTGTCCTGGGCTTGCTGCCCTTGCATGGGAAGTGGCTTCTTCCACGGGCTCAGTGGTTGATGCATTATCTTCCATGGAACGAATTTTTTCATCTTGCTGATTTCCACAACAGGAAGGTGACTCAACATGCTCGGCCTTTATGCAGGACTTGACTTTGTCACCCTCAACTATGGCACAACATCCCTGCTGCATCATACAAAATATATGTTACAGCAGCTTCCTTCCATTTTCTGTCAAATAACGAGGGAATATAGCCTTTGCCTATACCTGATCAGGTGTAGTGTATTTAACAATTTGCTTAGATGATTTCCTACGCCTACAGTGTCTTGGAGAGCGATTGAACAGTCCCTTAAAACTGCAACCACTTTCATGTAATTGGCGCACAAATGTTTCTTCCAATAATTGAAGATAAAGCATGTGCTTTTCATCTGTCCATCCAGTAGATGAGCATACCACGAGAACATCCTGGGACATGAATGGAAGAACTTCATGATAGGTCCTCCAAAAGAAATGGCGAGTACAAAATTCAAACGCTGATCTGAGTATTTGTGGTCGACTCTTGGTCTCTAAGTGACATGATAGAAATATTGGAATACTGCTCAAGCATTGCAAGGGTACATTCAGAAGGAAAATGGCATTAAAAAGAACACTGAAATAACCAGCTACCACCACCACCACCACAACAACAACAACAACAACAATAATAATAATAATAAAAGATTTAACCAAAATGACCTAACTAATCAACTACTCCATGAAATTCGTAAGTACAACTCAAATGAATTACCCTTTTGTCCATGTCTACTTGGCCCCTCAAATGAAAGTTCATCAGAGTTAGCACTAAAAAATATTCTGCACATCACATCAGTCATGTTACAGCAACTTAACTAAATGATTCAGGTTGCAGAATACAACTGTTCAAAGAAATTGTCTTTTGATAGTATGGAATGATCAAGTATCACACAAGACTCATGGCGCAGCCTTGATACTATGGCAACTTAGCACCCATTTCTCTCATTCAATATACTTCATGAAAACCTCACACATCTCTAACCAGAAGGAAACAAAATCCAAGTGATGTCAAAACCAACAGTCATTTGCAATAGCTAGTTTTGCAAACCAAGTAAATGGTATCCTTAGGTTGCACAACAGCTATCAAAGCAAACCATTCTGAGCATCATCCTTCCAGATGCTCATGGCCATGATATGACCATTTGAATCATATAAAGATATCATGTGTCCCCTTGAATCCCACTCGAAAAAAGCACACTGAAATAACCAATTACCATTGTGGCAACAATACTAAGTGGTTGTTTGGATCTCATAATTATAAATCAGTTTTCAGAAAATATGTTTTACCATCAATTTTAGATAAACCTATTTCAAGTACGTATTTGTTATTGTTGATTTATATATATTACTGTGTTTGGGTCGCAATTACTTTCACGGGTTTTTCTTTGGAATCAAATAACAAAGACACATATTTGATCACCGTGCAAACTGATCATTCCCGTCAAAGCTAGTTAGTACAGGAACCAATGGAGATGTGAGATTTATGGCCAGAGAAACGTGCTTAGCTTATGATGGTTTTTATAAAAATGTCTAGGAATAGATTTTGGTAAAACTTGGTATTCTGAGTTTACTGTTAACCGTTTTTACTTATCTCAAAGTTAGTTAGAGAAAACAAACAGGGTTTTCTGGGTAATGAACTAAAAACGGGTTTTAAGGCTCTGGTTCTCACAAAACTTAAGATCCAAACAACCCCTAAAAGATTGAACCCAGAAGAGCTGAATAATCAACCTGTCCCCAAAAGTCCAAAGTACAACTTAACTGAATTACCCTTTTTGTCCATGTCTACTTGTCCTCTCAAATGAAAGGTCAGCAAAGTTATCACCAATTTTTTTTTTTTTTTTGCACATCACATCAGTCAAGTTAAAGCAACTTAACAGAACGATTCAGATTGCAGATTACAATTGTTCAAGGAAATTGTCTTTTAATAGCATGGAATGCTCAAGTATCACACTTAAATACTTGTGGCGCAACCTTGATACTTTGACAACTTAGCACCCACTTCTCTCATTTAATACACTTCATGAAAGCCTCACACAATCTCTGAGCAATGTAGAAAAAGAACACAATCCAAAGTAATGTCAAAACCGGCAGCCACACACGGGAACTGGTTTTTCCACCAAGTCAATAGCAACAGCTATCCAAGCAAACTATTGTGAGCTGCATATATCATTCAAGATGCTCAAGCCATGACCACTTGAATCATATAAAAATCTCACGTATCCCCGTAAATCCTGCGTAACAAAAAAAACATATGTTGTACAACGGCCTCCTGAAGAAACCGTGATTCTACTCCTCCATTTTGTGCTCGGCGATACTAACAAAGAGGTCCAAAAATCTAAACTAGCAGCTCCAACGCCCCTTTGTTTTTAACCCAAAATCGAACAGCTGTTCGAAATTTTAGTACACCCAGGTATCTCAGCAGATCACCCAAACAAACATCTAAAACAACTTGGCGCCACAACTGCACACCAACCAAACGAATCCGCGGTCAAACCAAACGCGCTGGGGGAAAAAGGATTACCGGCAGGCGCACGAGGTCTCGCAGATCGGGCGCCCCCTCGTCCATCATCTCCGGCCTTCCGCTCCGGTCGGTCGGTCGTCCACACCCCCGCCCACCGAGACACAAAACCGCCACCTGCAAATGCACCACCGCCACATCAAACCTCACATCAGCGCCTCCACGGCCACAAGCGCGGCAAACATCACAACCGCAACACGAAGAGACTGAGCTGTGGTCTGTGGAGGACAAGGGACGAGGCGGAGGAGGATTCGACAGCCCTACCGTCCGCGACGCGGCCCCCTCTCGCGTGGCGCGGCTCCTTCGTTCGGACTTCGGAGCGACGGAAACAGAGCGGAGCGGGTGAAAGCGGTGGACCGACCGGTCGAGTCGAACCCGAGCGTGGGGGAGGCTGGGGAGGGGACAGGCCGCGCATTTTATCTGGCTTCCCTCCGCCGTGGCATGGCTTTTCCACGTGGGCTGGCCTGGCCGGGGCCGGCTGAGCGCGCTGCCGGTGGACGCTTGGTGAGAAATATCTTCGGAGGGAGATGGCTTGCGGCGGCCCGGGATCCTCTCTGCACGCCTTCCCCGTGCCTTCCGTCCTTGCTTCCTTGCCTACGCGGCTATGTCCAACTCCCTCCCCAATCCCCATGGGCGGCATGGAAATGGAATCACGATATTCTTTTGCCCTGATGCAGTGATGGATGATCCAGCGGCGGTGGCGTCGGACCGGACTGGGTTGTTGCGAGATATTTTTGTGGTCACGATGTCACGTCTCATGGCAGGCTAGACACGGTACCATGCATAACATTATTTGGTGATATTTGTCAACAGTAAGGTTTGACGCGTTGCTGTCGTGTGTCCCCAATTTTTTTTTTTTGTAATTTGATTTTTTTAAAAGAAAATTCACATTTAGACCCGTGCGACATAAACTCAACTTTAGACCCTGGGGTCGGGGCGCCGAGGTTACACGTCTCGGCGCCATGACTCACAGCGCCGAGGTGCCTGGCCCTATTTTGCGTGGATGACGATCTGGACGCTTACGTGGCACACACCACGGCGACATACATCACGGCGCCGAGCCTGAATTCAAAACCCACTCCCGGCTTTCCCTATCCGAGACTTGTTACATTTGTTACTCCTTCCTCTCGGGTTCTTCCTCTCCCCAACCCATCCAATCTCTTAAATCCACTATTTGCACCTTGAAAACTTTGATTTGATCCATATATCTTCAAGAACAAGGTATCCTCTCTCCCCCTCCTTATTTTTTAAGCATTGATTTGTTCTAGGTTTGGTGTATTTTGTAGCCGTAGGTACGTCATTACTAGGGTTTTGAAGCCATTATTAATATTTGTAATATGCAACCTTAGGATGCCAAAACGTGTAAAAGCTATTAAATCAAGGTAACCTCAGCGACATCTTGTTATATTATGTTTTCATTGATGTGTAGCAAATGGGAAGTCCTCGGTTTATGGTTTAATGTTCACTGCCTTTGGTTCTTAGAACGAAATTGTTTCAATTGTAGTTATGGTCGGATGACCGAAAATGCCTTCGACCCATTGCCTCTGCCTAGTGGTGTTCCTGTGCCCATGTGTTTTTGCGGTGATCCTTGTAAGGTGGCCAAGTCCGATAAAGAGGACACGTATAAGCAGATGTATTGGATGTGTTCCAATTTTGTGTTTCAACCTACACTTCGTCAGCGCCGCATTAACAAGATGGTGAGAAATTGATACTGTGTAATAATTATTTTGTTTCATATGAAATCATGCATGAATTTTTTGTTGTGTAACATTTGCATGTATTGCAGACTCCTCCACCGCTCTGTGATTTTGAGCAGTGGATTGACACTGAGATTAAACCGGAAGACAAGGAGTGGATGCAGAAACTGTTGCGTTGGGAGGCAGAGGACAAGGAGATGATCGACAAGAGACGCAAAGAGGAGGCTACAGAAAAGGAGCACAAGGAAGAGGAGGAAAGGAGGCGTGTTGTCTAGGGAGGAGACGGAGAAGAAGCTTGAGCGTGCGCGCCGAGAGAAAGCGGCGATGGAGGAGAGTCCCGATGCCCTGAGGAAGGGAAAGTAGCCTCGTTGCACTGAGTAGTCAGCATGACTTGCTAGTTGTATGGTTTATTCATGAATAATATTGTCTATTTTTAGACTTTGCATTATATTGTCATGTAATGCACTTTAAGTATGGATGTTATTTAGTTTGTCAACATGTACTTCTATCGTTATTGTGTTGTTTAATGTGCCTAAGTATTGAACTTTTTATTGTGTTGTTAGTTTCATTATTTGTGGTTATAATATTCAGTTTAATAATGTGGAGGTAGCGAAACGAGTTAACGTACTGTAAATAAAACCTAACGAAGTACTGCATTACATAATTCAACACGCACAACACATGAAATGTCATGTGAGAATATGTACCAAACTAGTTTACAGAGGTCTTGGACTAAACCTAACATGCCTTAAGTAATTGAAGCGAACAAAAAGCACATGAAATGGCATGTGAGAACATGTACCAAACAAGGGTACATAGGTCCTTCGACTAACCCTAACATGCTTTAAGTAATTAAACCAAACAACAAACACATAGATGTGGCATGTGAATAAGATAGATTTGTTCTAGCTAGTAGTGCGGCCACATAGCAAATTGTGTTGCACATTTTCCATAGTATCCTCCCATTGTTGTTGGTGGTGGTGGTGGGGTGGCGGCAGAGGCCCCTTATTCTTGTGATTAGGGCAGATGTAATATGGATCATTGCAGAGTGCCTCCTGTGAACCGGCGTCGTTGTTGTCGTCGTCGTCGTCTTCGTTGTTCTTGTAACCGCTTCTAACTTCCCTTTCTAGATCGAAGATACGGTCCTACAGGTAGTAGATATACTCTTGGTGTGGATAAATTGGACGAGGATCGACCCACCTAGTGAACCCACAGTTGTCTTAAGCCTCAGAAGATTATAATAAATACATCCTGTTAGTTGTAGTATAGAAGAGGTACATATTGAAAAAACAAATAGTAATAGCAATTATCCATGCTTGCGGGCATTTGAAGAAACGACGGCATCCATCTATTCTCTCGGTGAACATCTGCGCTAAGCAGTCCTCACCATGCATGCATTTTGGCCACTCTTCTTTTTCGGTCATCGTATCCTCTCAGTGATGCCTCTTTGGTGAAATCACTTTTGCTCTCAACTGGGAACCTCTCATACAGTGCTTCCTCAAAGAAATCGGGACCCAGAGAACCCTCCCACAGAATGGGAGTTCCCTTCCTCCCCCTTTCCTCTCTCTCTGGACGACCCTCCAGACATTCCTACAGTAACAAAAAGAAATACTCGTTGCGAAGTAAGTAGCAATGTATCCAACATTGCATATATATATAGCGGAGGAAGGTTTAGTTGCCATTTTAATATGGTGTAAATGGTCCTGAGAAGCCTACTTAGTATCACTGAAGAGCATATTTCAATGGACACTGAAGTGCTTAGATTCGTTTACTGAAAAGTCTATTCGACGGTGACATGATAAATCAATGAAAAGACTAGATGGTATATGTGTACTATATATATGAAGTGATAAATCGTTGTTGTCATCGTCCTCCTCGTCCTTCTAAGTGAAAAGGCTATTTTCATTGTCTAAAAAGTCTAGATTCATTTACTGATACTGAAAAGCCTAGATTCATCTATAAAGTATGTGTACGATACGATTAGACTACACACGTTCAATGCTTTAAATAATTTATTATATGGGTGTTACGAGAATTATTTAGTTTTTATAAAGGGAATGTACCAAAAATATATTAACATTTAATCTGTGTACTACATTTGTGTCTTGTTTAGCTATATAGTATAATGAATGATTTACAGAAAAAATTCACAAGAGTCTTCCTTATTTCAGGAGCATCCACAATCAGAAACAGAGACATCATAATATGATCCAAACATTTAGTCATCCAAATAACACAACACAACTACATAGAACATCACAACCAACATAACATGTCTAGCATAATCCAAATAGTCCACAATGTCCATACAGTCCCAATAGTTATAGCAAAGTAACTGTATATTGTCCAAAGCTCTAGACATGCAAAATAAGCAAAGTCCATGCAGTCCAAATAAGTTGTGATTCTAGGTTGGTAGCATAGTCCTAACCTATAAGTCCTCGTCACTGCCTCCTAATCTTACCCTTACCCTTGGGGCCAAGAGCATCGGTGCCCGGAGTGTACGGACAAGGCGGATGGCGTCGCCTAGTTCCTGCAACCTGCGTAGGCTGAGTCGAAGGAGCGTCCTGGAGCTGAGACTCGTCAAGCTCATCATAACCATGCTCCTCGTCCTCTTCGTTGTCGTCCTCGTCTCCCTGGCCGTGGGCTACGAGGGCACCGGCGGGGTCGGCCGCGGCCTGCGAGGGCACGGGCGGGGGGCGCGGACGGCGGCGGTGTCAATGGCGGCGGTGTGGTTGGTCGAGACGAGCGCGAGAGGGAGAGAGAGAGAAGTGGCGCTGGCTTGAGCCGTGTATAGGGTTAATACCTCGACGTCGTGATGTATGGCGCCGAGTTGTGTGCCACGTAAGCGCAGATCGTCGTCCACGCAAAATAGGGCCCGCACCTCGGCGCCGTAAGTCATGGCGCCGAGACATGTAACCTCGGCGCCGATGAATCACGGCGTCGACCTCCAAGGTCCAATGTTGAGTTTACGTCGCTCAGAGGTTTAAACGTGAATTTTCTTAAAAAAATTGACCAAATTACAAAAAAAAAAATGGGTCGTGTGTCTGATCTAGTAGACTAGTAGTACTATCTCTACTAACATCTGCCGTTTTTTTTTCTGTCTCTTAGCCATCTAAGCGTTAACCGTATTGCTAGTTTCATATAGTGTTAGGCAACCACATTGTTTTTACTAGTCCAGATCGCTGTCTCGCATGATGAAAGATCAAACATGGCACTCCTACGCATGAATCATGATTCCTCCGTTCCACCGTCATCAATCAATATACTAATGGTCCTTTGCAGCTCTCACAACCAATGAGCGGAGGGATCGCGAGCTGTCTTTATACACCAAGCAGCGCCAGTGAGCGTCGGGGCAGGACAGAAGATCTGGCAGGGGGAGGACGCTAGATATTTTTGCAGTCGCAGGCGCGGGGAATTAAACAAATCCGTTGCCGCCGCGGCACTGACGAGGCTTTCTGGTCTCTGCGATTCTTCTGCCCAAGCGCTGACTTCATCCGTCCCGCCCCGCGGCTTCGGATATTTTGAGCTTGAGCAGTTGAGCCCAAGCCAAAGCGGCCTAGCCCATACGGCGCCAACGACCAGGAGGTTGCGACCCGGAGAACAGACAGACAATCGGAAGGCGCGTTTCATTCGTCTGCTAGTCCACGCCAACATGGGCAAGAAGAGTGCTGTTTCAGTCAAAAACATACTCTCTCCGTCCACTCGTCCGGAAATAACTGCACATTTCATCTCTCGATGGCGAGTCAATTTTTTTTTAAATTGACTTGACAGGTACAGTACAAAATAATATCACTATTTATTTCTTGTAATAAATTTATTAGAAGAACATATATTCCACTATCATCTAATGATACTTATCACACATCATAAATATTATATAGTACTTTTATATAGTTAATCAAGCTTAAAATCATTTGACTTCACGTGTGCATTTATTTTGGGACGAGTGAGTATTGCCTAAGATTAGGAATACATGGTAAATGATTGCAAGTATTCACTGGCTACATTGTTTAACCAGACTGAGATTGCTCTTATTCTGAATGAATTATTTCACACTCGTGAGTTATGACAGGCAACGTTTTTAGGTGGTACTGGCAGCACGAGCACTATCTCACCAGGCCACCGCCAAGAAGCTCTTTTTTTTAAAAAAAACTCATTTATATTTAAACGTTAACAGCATAATACAAGGATTAGGGATAGAAATCCCAAATACATGGATATAACCTTAACTGCTCATAAGGAAAGCATCCTGGGAGTAGAGCAAAACAATATGATTTTGAGTAAGATCTTTGAAACCAAATTCCACAAAAGCCTTGAAAAGTCTTTAAGATGCCCCATTAAAACTCTCACAAAATCAGCAAACATTGTCGCCCGATGCCCCATTAAAAAAAAGACAAAGACCCTCAAGAATCTACAATATTTTTCTCTCACAACAAAATAGTGGGCGCTTCAGGTTGAATGTTGAGGCTGAATGTTGAGTAAAGGATATATTGTGATCTCAATTGGACTCGAGCAATGACATTTGCAGAGACCAGAACTCAGAGTTGGCATTGATGATTCAAATATGTACTCCACCCAACCACGATCAGCAAGCCTCGAGGAAACAGCAATGGCAAGAAGCTTTATGCTGTCACTGAACTGCTATCTCCTAGAGGAATGCTGTTTCAGTAAAAGAAAAACATATTGTACATGGTAAATGTTTGGAACTATTCACTGGCTACAGACGTGGGTACATGAGTAGGCATGTAGGATGAAGCTCAATATATTATTTCATACGCGCGAGTGGTGAGTGGCATTCCAACGTTTCTAGATGGTATATACTGGCGGACCAAACACTATCCCACCAGCAAGAAGCTTTCAGCTCACTTAACTGCTTTATTCGTTGACACCACGTTTGACATAAACTGGAATAGGAAAAACTCGCAGAAAATAGCACAAACGCCGTTCACTCTAGTGGTCTCCTCGAAGCTGCGAGTTCTTCCATCTGTTGTCGCATCTTGTACTGCAGCATTGCTGGAGCGCAGTCTAAAGGAGTTTCCCCTGCCCAACATATTAATGATGTTAGTAATTCCGACACTGAAATAACTATCTGGACTTCAAAATTGGGTGAGTAACTGAATATATAATGGTGATAATTCTCAACAGAACGAATTGAGCATGGAAGCTACTTTGCCATTTAGGTCATATAATAGCTCTTCTTTTGCTTTACACTTACAGTGAACATCTTTTTTCGAGTGCTTGGGGGCAAATTAAAATTGGAATGGCAGACTGAGAGGGTGGTATGTTCAAAATAACTTCTGACAGCAATTTCAATTAATCGACTATAGGAACACTTGGATGTCAGTAATTTAGTAACAAATGTAAACAATATTATCACATAAATGGGCTTATAAGTAGTAAAAGGAACCTACCTTGCCCATTTTTGCTTTCAACATTTGCGCCATGGTCCATGAGAATAAGAGCAATCTCAGTCTGGTTAAACAATGCAGCCTGTTGCAGTTGATCGCAGAGAGAAATAAATCACAGGTAGATTTGCTTATTTGATCTCATATGTATGTACATGGCAGATTCGAAACACAAAGAGCTTTTGTTGCGCAAACTGCTCATGATAACATGCAATGATGCAAAGGGGTCCATAAATACTATGGAGATATATAGCACCTGTGCCAGGCAAACAAGTAAACAACTAAAATCACAGAACAATTACTAATTTCCACCTGTGTTCCTTAAGATATTCTACTCAGATTTTTGTATGCTATCCTCATACAGGTGATGTGGCCCTTACTGTGCAAATATTCAGCTTTAACAATGTTGTATGATTAGATGTTTATACACAAGCAGTCAAGCAAATCAAACAAAGAAGCTTGAATAACTCAACCACAAGGATGACATCAAAAGAACACATACCAAATGTAGCAAAGTAAATCCTTGTTTGTCGCAGTAGTTAGAATCCACTCCCTGCCCGATGTTGAATGTAAGAATCAAGATGCCAAAAATGATCACAAGATCAGACAAGAAAGAGAAATTGCACCTGTGTAAGAAGTTTCTTTACACCCTTAACATCTCCACCTTTAATTGCTTCTCTCAGTCCCTGTAAGCAGTAAAAACTAGGTTACACAAAATCCTACTTCATGAAACCAGTTGAATGATGAAAAATAGAGAAGGAACTGCATGCGGGAAAAAAACACTTACCTCCCCACTAACTTCATAGTCAGAAAGACCCTTATCATTGCTATCGTTGCTCATCAATCCAATATTTAAGAATGGGCTGCAAAAACAAGGATATAGGGGGATGAGATGATAACTTCAAAGTTAAAACACTTGTTAACAGCGCTTAATGGAGATATATTCAATCTCCCTATCGCATGTGTACAAGCGATAAAGCAGCGAAGCTAATGACCAAAATATGGTTCCAATTATTGCTGGAAAAGTTGGCACATACCATAAAGGCATAAACATATCCAACAAAAAATGAGTAGATAGAGATAAGATATATGGCAAAAAATGTTAAGGAACGCCAAGACCAGCCAACCTTGAGTTGCTACTGGAAGTAGCTGAAGCCTTCTGTTGGGTGTTAGCAGGCTTCTTTGGCCTTGGATTAGACTGTGTGGTTGAGGGAACGGTGCTGATATTCTGTTGCATAGGATCATTGGGTTTAGGATGGAAATCTCAACAGAGTGTAGAAAAAAAATGGATTGACATCTACCTTTACAGGTGCAGGTTCTGGTTTTGGTGCTTCACATATACACAAAGGCATCCCACATTTGCACTCAATAAGGGGTGCCGTGCTCTGAACTGTTGAATTCCTCATAGGCGACAAAGCATCCTCTTTACCCAACCTCAGCCCTGAAAAAGAGTCAGCTGCTCCAGAAATGCTACCAGACGACACCGAATTACCAGCGCGTCCTTGGCTGCAACATCACAGGACAATGCTAGTTAAATGCAGAACCAAGCCAAGCTGCTTCCTTCCGAAGTACTAAACATAAATTGCTACAAGCACACAATCAGCTTACACCTCAATTTATTAAACTGATAAGAGGATGGCTACCTCGAGGATTTGTTGAAGCAATCGTAGCAGACTCTGACGTCGGTATATATCCCATACTGCGGGAGAGCCTGAAACAGGTTGGAGCTGAGGGTCAAACACTCCCAACCCAGTACCAAGGTCACTGCCAGTCTGCAAGAGCTAGGCCATGTGCAATTTGATTTAACATTCGGTTCCTCACCATGTGGTACGAAGAATGCTCGTGACACAGCGTCCGTCCGCAGCTGCGGCAGTGATGCTGTCAGGGGGAAAAAAGAGAGGAAAAGTCAGTCATGGTATCTTCAGTTCTCCGTAGCTGGAATCAGGCGGGGCCCATGCACGCGTGCTCCGATTGCAGCGAGAGAAGGGAGGAATTCACACCAGAACGAACGAGATCGGTCCAGCGATCAGATATGTATATATGGGGAGAGAAGGGGATCCGTACACGGCGGCGGAAGGTGCTGAAGGTACAGCGGCAGACGTCGCAGTGGGCGGACTCCTGGAAAGGCGGCGGCGTCTCCATGGCCCTTCCGCTCCAGCTGCCCGCAGCGGATCTGGCCCCGAGCTCGCCTGCCTCGCTTCGGCGATCTACGGTGGAGGCGACGGGGAGAACCGACGCCCGACGGGTTGAGGAACTGCGTGCGAGACCGGGAGGGAGAGGGACCGGGGTGGGTGAGCCGTCCGTGCGGGATCGAACGCCTCTCTGCTTTGGTTCGCTTCACGGCGTATTACCCCTGTTGTGATTTGTGAAGCCAAACCCAACGAATCAAAGCCCACCACGTTCTCCCAGCAAACGGAGTGGAACATGAACAGGAGACCTGTACTATTGTACAGATAATATACAACAAGATAAATAATGGGCCAATAATCTGTTTAAACTTTTGGAACTTCGGCCATCAAAGCATGAAATCTATATTTAATTATTTATATATTTGTCTTGAAAAGTAGTATCAACATATGTAGAGAGTTTTTGTTGAACAACTTCACAAGCATCTGTATCAATATGAACAATTAGATGTCCGTATCCTGGGCTCCTGGCTGTCAAATTCCAACTCAGCTTCAACATTCAGGTTGTTGGTTATAAAAAAACATTCAAGTTGTTGGCTGATGTGCATCTCTAAGCAATTTTCTACATCAAAACAGTACATTAGAAGGGTCCGAGCATCTATGTAAAACTTTATTGATATGAAAAAAAACATTGAAACAATACGATTTTTTCAGTAGTATAAAATACCATTTTAGAATCAACAGCTATGGTAACGATTCTAGACCTTTAATTGGCACCCTTTTCGCTTCGCTGAAATGACAAGCTAAAAAGTATTGTTCACTGATTTGTTGTGAGAGAAGGATATTACGGCTCATAAGACAATTACATCAGTAATCGTCAGGTTCAGGCTATGGTGAAATCAGAGACCAAGCGACAAGGACTTCCATTTTACATGAACCAAAGTGAAAGGGCACGATAACTTCTACCGACTTCCAGTATGGTTCCAGTCGCGACCGACGTGTCGTCCGGTCATGCTTCGACCGGACTCACCCAATGTCTGGTCACTCACTGTCTTCTCTGTGCGCTGCCACGTCAGCAGGACCGGACGCACCCCGCCAGTGCGTCTGGTCACGAAGTGACCCAACATCCGGTCGAAGACCGACGCTAGCGTCTTCACTGCTTCCACTGACCGGACACTCCGGTCCAGTTGAGACCAAAGTTCGATGCACTCTGTGAAATCATGTCTTTTCTGTACAGGGCGTCGGTGGCACCGTCGGACTATCTGCACTTCTACGGGCGGACACTCCCCGGTGAAGTTTCTTACCCTTCTCAAATGTGCCAATCACCAAGTGTATCACCTTGTGCACATGTGTGTTAGCATATTTTCACAAACATTGTCAAGGGTGTTAGCACTCCACCAGATTCTAAATGCATATGCAATGAGTTAGAGCATCTAGTGACACTTTGATAACTGCATTTCAATACGAGTTTCACCCCATCTTAATAGTACGGCTATCGATCCTAAATATGATCACACTCGTTAAGTGTCTTGATCACTTAACAAAATGGCTACTACCACTTATACATTTGCCTTGAGCTTTTTATTTTTCTCTTTATTCTTTTTAAGTCCAAGCACTTGATCATCCCATGGCATCACCATCATCATGTCATGATCTTTATTTGCTTCACCACTTGAAATGTGCTACCTATCTCATGATCACTTTGATAAATTAGGTTAGCACTTAGGGTTTCATCAATTTACCAAAACCAAGCTAGATCTTTCAACATCCTCGGTTTGATTTGACTACACATACATAACATGTATCCAATGTTGATGTGAGAATTATTATCAATTCTATTGGTCATAGCATAAATATGAGCCACTAAATTTCTTGAATAAATTTAAGAACATACATGTAACTCTATTTACCATTTTATACTATGCATTTATGCATCCATAATATAGTCTCAGGTATATCCCTTAGTCATGAGAACCATCACTATACCAAACTCATTGATCGAAATCTTCAATTTAGAGCAGATTGTCCTAGACACGGGATCAAATCCATTTTATATGGAACTGTTTGGTTTTTGGGTACTATATATCAAGTACCTTATATCCATACCAATAATGGGTTTTATTGAGTCTCTTATTGAGAATCAAATTGCATGATAAATTAAAATAGAATTGTAATTTACCAGCACTAAGTTGTTTTCATGCGGCCTTACACACTGCATCGTTAATTCAAATTCATCAAGCTACACTTATACAACTCCCTCCGTTACAGTACGTACGTGAAACTTTGGCCACAGCCAAATATTTTCCATCTACGCATCGAGTATGTTTTCACATACCCATATCACCACCCCAACGCACCAATGGGCATTAGGGATTCCAAGAGTTAACTCTGCAGGGGATTTATAAAATGCATGTATGTTGATCACATTTGAGGATAATTCCAGGTATTAGAGGGACATTATACCACACAAAGAATGCTATGAATCAAAAGAGCAAACCTCACATCCACATACCAAAGATTCTAAATCTAATCGTTTATAATATCTTATATTTGCATCATATTGCAAAGAATCTGTCAGAAACATTTACTGATAGTAAGGGTGACACAAAATCCTCTTATCCTACTTATAATATGCCCGAAAGAATGGAGGTACCAATTAAAACCATTCAACTCCCACTTCCAAAGAAGAGGGGGAGAAGTACGGCCGCTCCTAAGGATAATGCTCCAAGTAAGCATCCGAGGATACCGAGGACAAGATCCTCCAAATTAGTAAATTAAAGCCAACCTCAAGTTGGTAGACACCCAAAATGGATGAGCATCCAAAACCCAGATTAAAATCCACCCGGATCAACGGGTTGTGGAAACCGCGAACGGGGTAACACATGAAACTAGACCAACCCCTATCAAACCCAATAGGGCTCAGGGGCTCGGGTCGCTCGATGTCGACTCGAGAAACCAACCGACCACGCAAGTCGTGGGCGGGACAAACACGGGCGAACACCCTGACCTATAGAAATACAGGAGTCTGCGGCCCTAGCAAAGAGTACCAAGATACTCAGCCTTCAACCGACTCACTAGTCGGATGCAGGCTCGGGGGCTACACCCACCGGGTGCGCACCCGCTGGCAAGTCAAAAAATCCTCCAAACAATTCTACCCAAATCGCCTGGGGGCTCGGGGGCTATACCCACCGGGTGCGCTCATGCGCACCCACTGACAAAACGAAAAACCCTAGACAATTCTACCCGAATCGCCCGGTGGCTTGGGGGCTCCTGTCGGGTTCATAAACCCGGGGGTCCCTAATGGGCCCACTTCCCAACAAAAACTCGGCCCAGCAGACGGCATTACAACAACGTGCGACTCCTAGGCCGGCCCAGATACCTTACGACAGGCCGGAAGAGCGATCCAGTCTCCGACCGAAAAGCCTGGCCAAGGAGGGGACGACGCTCGCTTCCGACTCAACCCGCTTTTCCAACCGAGAATACATCGAACCTCTACTTACAGCTCTTCTTCGATCGGTGCGGTCGGAGCCGACTGAGAACGACCGACCGGGGACGCCCGTTCGGTGAGGACCTAAGAAACAGGCGGAGCAGATAAGGCAAGACGCTCAAAGTCAACCGTAATACCGAGGACCATACCCTGCACACCTGCAGGACGGAACCACCATACCATGTCAGAAGGGTACTTTGCAACCTTCTAGACATGTCAGAACACGAACAATATTGTGGGGGCCGACATTTGTCCTACAGTATGGTAGGCGTCGACATTTGCCATACCAGAAGAACACGATGGAGCCTATCACATGCATCTAGGCGTCAATAGTATTCTGGGTGCCGACAAACTATCTTATACCCATGGCGTGGGCAACAAGACTAGAAAACACACACACACACACACACACACTCTCTCTCTCTCAATACTTGTAAGGCCACCCCCTTCACCTTTAAAAGGGGATGTGCTCTCTCCTAAAAAGGATGGTTCATTCCAACTCTCTCTACTAAGCTTTAGACATTCTGAGCACTTGAACAGCTCCACATCTCTAGAACTCTAAAGCTACACAGAGCATACGTTCGAATACTTAGCGCACGTTGGAGCTCCCATCACTCTTGGCCCTTCGGTTTAGAGTCCGACCGAACCTCTAACACCCCCAATCTTACTCCTATTTGTTAGTTAAATTGATGCACGACATTCATGTAATCGTAGACCTAAAGGAGTCTAGGCAGGTCAGGTAGGGGAGAGCATGGTCATAGGCGTGCATGACCATGACTCGACCGTGGAGTCCGTCAGGTTCACGCCATATTGTTCAGAGCGCGCGTAGCGCACGCCGCAGCGAAACGGCGTTGCGATCTTTGCGCAATGTGGCGTGGGGGTTTGGAGTCTGTAAACCTCAACTATACCTATAAATATAAGGAACAAAGAGCCAAATAAGCTACGGTTGCTGGCAGCGTCCAATCTTCATAGTTTCCTCTGAGTTTTGCATCTGTTCGCGCACTCGCCGTAGTCACCACATCGCTGGCGTCGCTCACGATCCGATCTCGTTCATCGTTCGAGTTCTAACAACGTGGTATCAGAGCCGAAGGTAGACGAAGGAGGAGGTGTCTGGTGATAGGGAGTCATCGGAGAGATAGCCAAGTGATCGAGCCCGTCGATCGCGAGCAAGAGGAGAACCGTCGACATGGGCTCGACCGGAGAGAAGGAGAAGGAAACCATGGAACGTGCGTGGAATCAGGCGTCGGGAAACCTCGTTTGGCCGATGTTATCTCGCACCAACTATCAAGAGTGGTCCGCTCATGTCCAATGTAACCTCGAAGCGATGTATCTGTGGGACGCGATCGAGAGTGACAAGGTCGAGCGGCGACATGATCAACTTGCGCTCGGCGCCATGATTCGTGGCGTGCCCGGCGAGATGCACTCTATGTTGCTAAACAAGAAATTGGCGAAGGAGGCATGGGAAGCTATTAAATCGATGCGTCTAGGGGCAAAACACGTAAAAGAGGTGAATGCGCAGAAGTTACTTG